TAAAAAAAAAAAAAAAAGGACGTACTAAGAGCCACACAGGAAGTATCCATCTGTTCACGCTTCATTTCTCTGCTGTAAGCTTGCCCTGAGGGACCTGATTAGCCTTAAACAAACCCCTCATGTTCTTTTTCAGAACAGTAACAGCCCTGAGCCCTAAGATACAGTGCACTGGCCTATGTGGACTTAACATCTACTGACGTGTAGTTTGGTGTTCCGAGTGTCCCACGGTCTCTGCCCTCGAGGAAGCCAAGCACTGTGACACCGTCCCCCTCCCCCGCTCCCAGCAGAAGTTCGGCACCACACCCATCACCGTGACACAGCCCCCTCCACCGCAGACCCCCCTGGCCATCTACTCCATCTCTCAGACCAAGCCAAGTCGCGCTCAGAAACCTTGGACGGTTCTGCCTTTGGGCTGGTCTAGGCCAAAGTTGGGAAAACTCAAGTCAATTACCTCTCCCCTTGCCTCTCAATGCGATAATCCTTCATCCCTGAAAATACTACTCCGTCCCCCAACCCTCGGCTCCCATCCTCTGTTACTGTCGTTCATTTACTGTCCCTTATGTCCTTCCTCGACCTTGGGATTTTCTACTTTCTCGACCCTTTTGCTGTTCCCTCCAGGAGCCAGTTTCTGTTCTAAACTCCCCACGTCTTCAACCTTTGGCATTTTTGAGCTCCCTGCTGCCACTTGTAAATCGTCACAGGTCATCTGCATATTAAAAACCCTCGCCCTCAGTCAAAAAAGCTATTAAGATCTGGCCTTAAGCCCCATCCTTCTGCGGCCGCCTCCCCCTCCCTCACTGATGGATGGCCTGATTCACGGTGTCTTTGTTCATCCCGACTCCCGCACTAACCCTGACACACTTTCAGTGTCCAGGCAGCTTCCTCAAGTGCACTTGACCCCTTAAAGTTCCCTTTTCATCCCTCACTTACTCATCCATCCCCAGGCCGCAAATCTAGAGCCGCCGAGGTCCACTCAGATAAGAAACAGAAGTAAATTATGCTAGAGTTACTAAGAGGAAGTAAGTAAAAACATTTTATAGACACTGTAAGGACCTAGCAGAGTGAGGTAGGAACAATCACTATGGTGGGTCTCCATACGCTAGGCTCTATGCTGTCATCTAGTCTCTTTTCCACTAAATCAACTATTTTTTACAACCGAAGTTTTAAAGAGTACATTTTTTGCCATAAATATTTAAAATAAACTACAGGGGCACCTGGGTGGCTCAGTCGGTTGAGTGACCCCCTCTTGATTTCAGCTCAGGTCATGATCTCAGGATTGTGGGATCGAGCC